AAATCATTTTAAGATATTCCTTTGAACTCTTCTTAGAATATAAAGAGATCAGACTGGCTGAAGGCTGCTCTGGCCAGTTGGAGGTTTTCTACAATGGCACCTGGGGAAATGTGTGCTTCAATCAAATGGACACAAACACAGCCAGCCTGATATGTCAGCATCTCAACTGTGGAGACAGTCGGAGTATTTTTAGTGCATGGTCTCGGCTGAAAGGAGCTCTGAACTGGCTTGATTACCTGAAATGTCGCCCACATGACTCCACACTGTGGCAGTGCCCGTCCTCTAACTGGGGAGATAATAGATGTGAGGAAGGTGAAGTAGCTCAGATACACTGTAAAGGTAACCTACCGTATTCATTATCTTTATTAATCCACTTTGTGTATGGATTTATTATTTATATGATAACCATGATATCACTAAAAAACCTGGATTCATAACGTTTTTGTTTTCCTTAATTTCCTTAATATTCCATAATAATATAGAAAATCCTTAATTCTTTCTTAATTTTTTCTGTATGAAAGGATGTTCTGCTGCTGCCAAGGACAGACCATGTTCACGTAAGTTCAGTTATTACCTGCCCAGTGTTTCATGTTTATCAGTCAGTAACATCAGTGAGAAATCAGTCCCAGCTCTTCACTGAACTCTGTCATCCTCACATGTGTCCTCTGCCTTCTGCAGTGCTGATAAATCACAGTCTTTACTTGCCCCCTAGGCCACCCCCCCATGAGACTGCGGGGGGGCAGTAGCGAGTGCTCAGGGGGGGTGGAGCTGTGGCATAACTGCTCCTGGGGGACGGTCTGTGACGACTCCTGGGACCTGAGAGACGCCCAGGTGGTCTGCAGACAGCTGGGCTGTGGGACAGCACTGGAGGCTCATGGGAACTCTGCCTTTGGACGAGGAAATGGCACCATTTGGCTGAATGAGGTGAACTGCAGGGGTGATGAGCTCCACCTGTGGGACTGTCCTCACTCTCTACAGGAGCAGAGGAGCTGCAGCCACAAGGAGGATGCTGGTGTTACCTGTGCAGGTGGGACTGGGGCTGCAGACAGACTGTAACCTCAATCTGGCTTTTAGAACAAAGAAAATATAAAATTCGCAGAATGTGTATCAATAACCTTCAATGCTTAAATTTCACAGGTTCATCGCTGCTTAAGGCCACGACAGGTAAAGTTCATGTATTTAATATATAGTGCTGAGGGGTTCATCAAATGTAGGATTAATTCTGTTTATATATCGATATCAATTTACTCTTTCAGAGATTCCATCAACATCCACAACAACAAAGAAAGGTATCATTTTTATATTCTGTTATATAACATCATACTTAGCTATCTTTCTTTTCAATGCTCTAAGTTCTTATGTGGGAGTAATTTAACTATATTTTTGTAAATCTGCAGCCCTGACCATGACAAGTGGCTAGAACATGTATGTTCTCCATTTTTTAAAAACAATAAAGTTTTAGTTATTCTAGTCACAGCTTTTATTTCCAACCATGATAGTTTGAAAATCAGCACAAGATATGTTTGCATGTTTAATTAGTACAATCATTCTGCACTGTCAGACACATTTTATACTGTCTCTCTGTCAGTTCCTTCTCCAGTTGT